TAAGCCTGGTCCTCTCTCTGCTCTCCTGTCACCATGGCCAGCTCTTCTTCAGGAGAACGCGATTCCCTTTCAGACGTGCTATCAGACTGAAATACACAAAAAGTATTTTTTCACATACACAATAATACAAAATGACACCCATACAAAACAAAGACACACAGTCACACAATTGATGCTGCACATTGCAGAATAGACACTATATGCACTGTTGATCGAATAGGACAATCCTTCTACGCACAATTGATTCTTGTGGCTTATCTTGCTGAGGGCAAATTAGTGATTCCAGGCAGCTGGAAGCTTCCAATGAGATATAATGCAAGGAAGCGAAACATAAAATAGATTTTTTTAACACAGCTTACAGTGGCAAAAAAAGAGGACACATAAAACCTTTTGGGATCTGTCTCTCCACACATGATTAGGTTAGTGAGCCAACAGGCTGGTTGCTGTTTTGTAAGCCACTGTACGGGTCTAGTTACTGTATCTTACCAAGCCAGACACAGATTCTTCAGTACTTAGACCAGACATCTTTGCTGCAAAGTAACAACAGTAACAGCAGAGCGTCCTACGTCAAAAATTCTGATCAGGAGAAGCTGTTTCTTATAAACAGCCTAAAGCATCATTCCACTTGAATACTGACAGCAATACAATTTTTTTGTCTGTGCTCAGATATGTGCATCCTGCCACTGGTGACACAGGTAGCTCTAAAGCGCCACCGTTTGATGAAAACAGAATATATGACAAGAGCTATTTGATGCATGAAAGCAGAATCCACCAAAAACAAGTGTGTCGCTTTGGCCGATGATTACTTATATAACCTATATATAATCAACAACATAGTCCATACCTGCAAGAGGTCTGGCTACCCTAGCCCCTAATAAATTTAGCGCCTCACAGTGTATGCAGGACAAGGCCATAAGAGGAATGGATTAGATACAAAAAAAATAGCTTATTCTTCAGTTTTATTAACATAACACTAAGTCACAACTGTAACAGTGATACAGAAGTTATTTCACAGTGTCTGTTCTGCACTGGCAAGATTTTTCTGAATTCCCTGAACATCATTGGCAATTGTTCAGTATGACTTCTTATATCAAAATGTTATTGCTCAAAATCCTCAAGTAAAAATGCCATAGAAGGTCTTGCTCAAAGACACCACAGTCTCCTCTTCCTCTGCAGAAAAAAACAGAAAATAGTAGTAAGAGTAGTATAGATAGGGACCTTTCTTTGGGTGGTGCTATTATTATTTTAGTCCCTATTGAAAAAAATGGTAAATATAGTTAATCAAATTCTATCCTGGCATTTCAACATGCAATGTCTTGAACCTCTTTTGAACTTCTTCATTTGAAAGCTGAATTTTTCTATCTCTGGGTCTGAAGAAACTCAAATGTCTCAACAACCTAGAACTCCAGTAATCATCATTACTGGACCTATTATATTGTTATAATCATCCAGTGCTATAATCAAAGCCAGGGTGGGAGGGCTTCACTGTTTGCTGTTTTCTGTCTCTTGATTCTTACTTCCTCAGTCAGCTGGTAGCTCATCCAGATGGGGTTTTGTGTGAACACAGAATTTCAAGTTGTCAAACATTAATGCAGGCAATAGTTTAGATTTGCTGCCAGCTGCAAACAATTTTTGCATATATGCAAATGAGTGCTGATTGAATGGAACTGCTTAATCCAGTCTTTTTTGCAGATGTTGTGGCTGTGATCAGTATCTGAATGATATGAAGTAGAGCCTGGCCCAGTTATTTAAATATTAATAAAATACAGAATATTACTTTAGTGGTAAACCTACTGGTGCTCTGTTGACACAAGCACTGGCATGTCTTCTGGTGTCTTCAGAACAACAGGCTTTAGTCTAGTGTTCTTTAGATTTATGTGCTCCACACATTATCCATGCAACTGCCTTGGAACTGCCTATAGAGCATACAAATTTGAAAGCATTTACAAAACTGGGGCTTTATAAGCAGCTCATTCCTCGGTTTTCGTTCAGTTCTGTTTTAGTAAAACATTAGATGTTCTGTAATGACCTAAGTAAAGCCCACTGCTGGTGCTGGCCAGAGGTCACTGATTATAGTTCTCATGGTCTTGTCAGGGTCTGTTGGGTGTGTAGGCCTACATGCTGACAAGCTCAGCCTAATGAAGTGCCAGATTTGACAACAAGATATGCCCGTATGAGATCACAGGGCCATCAGAAACATTAGGATTCTACCTCTGGAGGACACCAATACACTCCAGACTTCATGTTAATCCAGCCAGTCAATGATAAAATATCTTGACCTGATGGTGACACTAGACAAAAGGTCAGAGTCTCATGAAATTTTCTGAGGACGATGACCATCCATACCACTTTACATGACAATCAGGACCGTAGTTACAACAAGCCTTCCAAAATATGTTGTTTGTAACCGTCCTCCAAAACCAACACGTGTAATTTTCTTATCTGACTCCCCTATTAGTGGGACAACATCATTTGTCAGTGTGTTCCAAAACTGTTACAAACCACTGTTGCTAAAATGAAACCATTTTATGACCTTACATCTCTACAGTTAGGGTTTGGTAAGATTTATGAACAAGAAGGACTTGGTGAGTGGTTTATCACTTGAGTACTTTGTCACTTGAACATAAACATATATTATGTTGCTATTGGGTGTTTCCTGAAGTCACCAGTGTTGTTTTTTTGGAGGATGGGCTTGTGGTTGTCGAGATTTATTGTTCTGAGCCTTAATGTTGGAAAAAAAAAATAGATGGTCAGACTGGCACTAAGTGATCAGCCAACATCCTTAGTCGCCAGGCCAGGGGCAAACACGTAGTAATGAACAGAGACTAGAAGTCCTCTATTGAGAGACTGGTTCAGATTCTTTTAAGAAACTAAACAGATAGTGTTTAGCAGATTTGCTACTGGTTGCTTCAGTCTAATAGTTTCTACTTTTAAGAAACCTATACTGCTAAAACTCACCTCACCTATACTGTCATTCTAATCCAGCCTCTTAAGAGGACAAAAAGTTTTTCCTTAAAATTGTTATTACTTACACTGAGGAATTTGTAGCACCACTGAGACAGTCATTGCATTTTTGCCAGCTGACTCTTTCTTGATGTGCTGTTATGTCTGTTTCATTGAACCGTATAACAGAGAGTGACAATAGAGATGAGAAGAAGAGATTGAATGGACATCACGAGCTGAGTTTGACAACATTTTGAGTGCGTGGCACGTGAAGCAGCCCCTAGATCTAACATGTAACCCCCGAGAGAAATCTTTCTTCATATTCTACAAGTCCATGGTTGTATTCAGCATGAATGAAGATATCAGATGCCAGAGATCTCCGTAATGGAAAAACCTGGTGGACATCAGTCTGAAGTAATGGCTTGTATGAAACAATGACATAGAACCCACAGAAACAGTCATATTTTTCTGTAAAACCTGGCCTCTATAGGTCATTTGGAAATGTGTTGGGTTAAGATTTTGGCAGTGTTATGAGGACTGCATGGTTGGTTTCCTTGGAAATTGGAATTGGAGACCTGGTTCCTTCATGTTATTGTTCCCACTGACATCCCCTTTGTACTGGCTTACAGGAATATAAATTAACTTCTCCAGCTCCTTCAAAACTCTGTCCATTTATCATCCAAAATAATGACATTCTGACTTTTCTGTCTTTGAGCATCCCAGACTATCTGCTGACCACCACAGTTTCACTTAGGCCACAACTACATGTCTGCAAATCTCATGACAGACTCATGCTTGAAGAGCAGACTAATGTGTTGACTCTAAATTATGGGTTGTGATTAGGCCATCAAACACACTTCAGTTTATAGTGGAAAAACAGGAGGCAGGAGATGAATGAATATTTTATGAGACTGTAATCTTTTATTCATGTAGGTAATGTATATGACGATCAAAGTGGAGGGTTTTTTTTTCCACAAGCATACTTATTATAGGAATAACTTTAGCGAAGCTTTTGTCAGTTCACCTTTTAACCAGTGACAAGCTTTGATTTCTTACTTTTGTTGACATCTTAAAAGCCGTCTTGGCAGCTTTTTGTTAAATGTCTTGGTCGTGTTTTTCTTTATACAGTTTTTCCATTCAATTCTACTTCATACAAGTACAATTTCCCCTCTGTTAGCAGTTGTGATTGCAAAAAAAAAAACCTTCTTCTCCTCTCTCACCAGTGGTAGAAACAGCAGTGCGTTCGTTATACAGTAAAAGTCACTCTGCAAGTCTACAAGTGGTGTGCTGAAGCATAGCAACCAGGCGTCAATTTGATAATCAAATTTGAAAGTGCTGAACGAAATAGTGCCAGCTGAAAGCAGTTTGAGTAGTAGGCAGTTGATCAAACACAGAATATTACTGTAGAGTTGGAAGCCAAGTACAGTATGTGGAGCAGAGGAAACGATTATAGTAAATTGTCCTAATGCACAGAGACATTGCATATGGAGAAGTGAAACGTGTCATGGCAATAAAAGTATGAACAGGATCTGAGCAGCAATTTTTGCCTTTTAGCCTTCTCTCGTAGCCACTCAGTTACTCTCTGTCACACACGCACAAGTGCAACCAGACGCACACACACATCTACACTCGTTCTCTAGTAGACAAACACGCACAGCCTCATCACTGGGAGAAGACTTTGTGGAATCTTGGCCTGGTCTGTGGAGCCTCTCTGGCTCCTCCTCTCTCCACTGATTCATCCCAGACCATGACATCTCCCCGAGCCTGTAAGGTCAGACACTGAGCACATGTCAGCACGCTGCCATTATTAAAAGCCCACAATGAAGCCTGTTGCCCTTAGGAAATTACTGTGGATGCTGTTGGGCTGTCTTGCCTTCTTATACTGTTGTATGTTGTTACCTATCATATCATGAAAAGTGTGTTCAGGTAGTCACATTCAGACATGTACATCTAAACATGATATTGATCCTTTGATATCCATGTGCAATTAAGTGAAAGAGATCCAGAACTTTTGTCCAAAGCAAAGACAAGTAGAGTCCTTAACTCAGTGCCTGCAGGTATCCTAGTTAAGATGTTGAAGAAGGAGAAGAAAAGGGCCCAGGACGCTGCTGCTCAGCTTGCTAACATCACCAATGGCCAGAGTCTGGCCTCCCAGAATGCCTTGAGGTTGTCATCAGTGTCACTGCTGAGCGAAAACAGCACAGACACCATCTCAGCCAGCCACGGAGGACGAGCTATGCAGTACATGAAAAGAGGTAGAAGCTTTATTCTTGTTTTGCTTTTCTTTACAAAGAAAATTGTTACAATTTGGATTTTAAAGATTTAAACTAATTTTGAAAACCTCCAAATGTGGTGTGATAAGGATAAGGTGTAACACAAGCAAACAAAATGGAGTCCAAATTGAGTTGTGACGTAGACCACCAAGCAAGTTATGACCATATATTGAGGACACTGCGATAAAGGGTTGGTTCTGACAAATTACAAAAAACACATTTCCTTAAACTTACAGCTTACTAATGCTACTAGCCATGTAGATAGTCCTGTTCTTTTTCCCTGGGTTTTTAAATATCAGACTTTGTCTCCATCCCAAAACAACTAGGGCTGTTTGTTTCAGTAAAAAGTAGTTCCATTGAAAGCTATCTACAGCAATGTGGACTATCCAGACTAACAGGGACACTGTTTCTGTAAAAACAATGTTGCAAATGAATTTCTTTTTAGATGTCTTTTTTTTCCTGAGTGTAAGTTCCACAAACAACACAACACCGACCTTTATCCTCTCGGGGTGGTGGCTGAATTATCTGAAACACATATCTCAAAACCGTGGGCCCAGAAAACTGTAACAATCTGAATGGTCAAATACTGTGTTTCGTTTCATTTTCTTTGTCTGTTATTGTTTGTAAATTGGGTGCCAAACCCTTTATGATGATGATGATTATCTCACAGCCAGAGGGTTCCAGGTGTGAACCCTGCCGGGCAGTTATGGCCTTTCTTTGTGAAGTTAGTATGTTCTCTCTGTGTTTGTGAGGGTTTCCTCCCAACCCAAAACACGGACATTTTAGGAAGAAACTTAGACTGCTCACTGCTATAGTAAGAATGGGTCAGAAGCATCGCATGGGGACTAATAAAGCACTATATAAATAAAATAAAATTTCACAGATGCTGATTCTATTAAACATGACAGTCAGTCATTCTGTGCTGGAAGAAGCAATGAATTTGTGATAAATTAGGTGCTAAGAGTACAGTGAGTGATCTCTCCTGATTGGAATGTGGGCAGCTCATTGTGGCCAGAGCTGCTGATTTTCAGCGTGCCTGTTGAGGTTGCCTGTCGGGTATGACAAATCCTTTATTTCTGGATTTTTCTGCATGACAGTCCGACATCCCAGAGCCCCCGGACTGGCTTATTTCTAAACAATGTCATCAGTGGGATTGTATGTATTTAGGAGTTTCCTTTGGAGGTCACTCAAGTGGCCCAGTGTAGTCATGTCAGCAAAGCAACATTAGACAGTACAGTATATTAAACCTGTAATTTGTTGCTGATGAAAAGCTGAGTTTAAAACCTATAATACTCACTGGAACATGAAGCAGGGAGCAGGGGCCAAGAATGCTGCAGTGTAAACACAAAAGACACTGTTCAGATGTGATGAGGATAACAAACCTGGATTCACTACATTTGAGAAAATGTCAGTTCCATGTAGAGGCAGCATCTCCACGTCAAACCAAAATGTTAAATACCTCATTTGTTTATATTCTTTTACACTAATACAAGAATATATATCTCATATAGGTAAACATGCTGGAGGATATTTATGTGTCTTTTATATACACATGGAAACATGACAATTGCAAATATGATCTAATTAAGCAGAGGTCTGTTTTTCATAGTTCCAGTTACATGTGGTCTTGAACTGAGTGTCATCACAGTGTTGCAGATGGTTAGGTTATGTCCTTGTAGTTTTGCCATTGCACATCGAAAGGTTTGGATAATAACGTCACAGAAGAGAAAGGATAATGAAGAGCCAGAGATAGTGGAGTAAGTAGCTTGTCTTGGATGGTCAGTCTACTTGTAACTTTTGTAGAAATGAACTTTGGTTTAAATGTCACAGGAATGTAGTGGTTGCTGAAAATCATTCCAATCAGCCTTTTAGATATGCTGCCTTGCCAGTAGCGGCATTTATTTGGCTTTTCCTGTTAATTTTGGTTAAGTGGAGCCTTAAGTGTGATGATAAACCTGAGCCCTTATAACAAGCTTGGTTGTAGCCATCAGGCACAGCAGTATGAGCCAGCAACTCATCAAACTGAGGCTGTGCTCCGCTCCTGTCTGTGCTAACCACAGCTCCCTCATCCTCTTCGACATTTTTGTGTAATGGTGCCCAGTGTGGTAATAAGGCCAGCGAAGGGATAATTGCAAGCAGGGTCTCTGAAAGAAGATTCTCTTAAAAAACAAACACATGTTTGAACTCGGTCCAGTCAGAATTAGGAAGCGAATCAGTCATTCATCGAGGGGACAATGAGGTCCACTGTGATGGATGGCTATAAAGCTGCGGTTTAGAAAATCACCAATAAATGATGCACCATATGTATTAGTCTCCAAGAGTGGTATGTGATCTAATATGAGGACCCAGATGAAGAATCATCCCGTTTATCCCACTAGAGGATGTGTTTTCACCTGGCCCTACGATTGATCTTTTTTGTTTCATTCTCTTATTTCATGGGACGTAATGCCCGCCATGGACTCCACTTCCACTTGCTTTACAACCACGTACACCAGGAGCTCAGACAGTGGTGATAAACCTTTGATAAAGCTGCCTCGATGTGATTTTATGTATTTTAGCTATACTGAGATATAGTCTTTGCAAATATTCACTGATTATTACATCAACACTGCAGTATAATTTATGATCTTAAAAGAAGGTTTACTTTGTGCAAAAAGCCTACATGACCTACAGTGTTTTAGTTGGTACAATTTCCTGAAAGTACTCCACATAGATTAAGACTCATACCAAATCCAAACATTGAAATATTACATGTAAATAATCCAGAGAGGACACAGGTCATTTCTGTCAGACTCCCAAACACAAGTCATTGTGAAGAATCTTGCTGGCTCTGACCATAATACTTGAGTCCCTGAATAAACGTTGCATAGTTACTTTTGGCAAGAACACCCAAAAAGTCAGCAATACCGCTGACATTTTCATTGCTGCTCCCTCCTATATTGAGTGACAGGTTATTATTTGTAATAGCTTACAAATAAAAAAACTGTTGACCTGGTGGAAAATAGGCCTTTAGTTGATCTTGACATATGGATGATAACTGCTAAGTCTACATCATGATTAACAGACCATCTCTGTGTAGCCCATAAGCATTTATATGAGCGATCATCCTCATTTTTAGTCAGTATTCATTGTCACACTTTCATTTATGAACTGTGGGTCCCAGTGAAGAGCTACGGCACATAATTCTGGTATATATCATCTTATAAATCTCAGGACTTCACTTCAAGTTTCAGGAATTGTCACTTGGCAGTTAGTTTGAGTATTACTGGGAATACACATTAAAGGGGAGAAGTAGGCAGTACATAAACACAACTGTAGCATCCAGTCCATTCAGTCCACACTGACCCGGACCTCCGTTTGGTCATCTCTATCCTCAGAACCAGCTGCCCTGATAACAGCAGCTTCTCAGTGGCCAGCCAAATTGTCTTCAAATAGGTTCTAGAGTTGTTTATTTTTTTAATCTTATTTCCCTGCCTGTGTCTCATACCATTACACAGACATGGTCCGGTGGAGATGATGCACTGTTTTGAGTTGTATCATCACATGTATTGTCATTTCTTTTCAACACCTTTGTCAAAATGGGGTCAAATATTTGAACTTCCAAATCATCCTCACATCTCCTCTTGACAGAATTAAAAGGCCCTTTACTATGGTGTAAAAGGCCACACCAACGTCAGCTTCAGGGCATTGCTCCCCCCGTTGTTCGTCTGCCCCAGTGCTCCCTCTCCTCCTTCTCTCTCGTGGATGCTCCTCAGGTCACCAAGTTGGTCTCTAAGGCCAAAGCCTCCACCTGCTCTCTGGACCCCATACCCACAGCTTTGGTCAAGGCATGTCTACCTGCTCTGTGCCCCCTCATGATGGACATCATCAACTCCTGCTTGGAATCTGGTTTGGTACCCTCCAGCTTCAAAGTTGCCTCAGTCACTCCCATACTCAAGAAGCCAGGTCTTGACCCGGATGACCTCAACAACTACAGACTGATCTCCAACCTTCCTTTCCTCTGTAAAATCCTGGAAAGAGCAGGCGCTGCCCAACTCCATCAACACTTGTCCAACCATGAGCTCTATGAACCCCTTTAAATCAGGCTTCAGAGCACAAGCAGCACAGAGACCGCTCTCATCAAAATTACTAATGACCTTCTCATTGCTGCTGACTCTGGCCACATCGGCATCCTCATCCTCCTGGAGCTCTCAGCAGCCTTTGACACAGTCTCCCACACCATCCTCCTCACCTGCCTATCCAACTACCTTGGCCTCACTGGTTCAACACTCTCCTGGTTTTAGTCTTACCTCACCGACCGAAAACCGTTTGTCACCATTGGAGGCTCTAGCTCAGCCCCTGCCACAGTCAACCACGGTTTGCCCCAAGGTTCTGTGCTTTGACCCTTCCTCTCCATGCATCTACATGCTCCCCCTTGGTCAGATCATCCGCCGCCATAGTCTCAGCTTCCATTCATATGCTAACAACACCCAGCTTTATCTCAGCACAAAACCCTCCTCCCAGCATCCCCCACAGTCACTTGTCAATTGCCTGCATGAAATCAAAATCTGGATGTCATCTAACCTACTCAAACTCAACAGCAATAAAACAGAGCTCATGGTTGTGGCTCCAAAGGCCCTGCTCTGGAAGGTTGGAGATCAACATTTACTTCTGGAGATTGACGGCTGCTCCATCTCCCCATCCCCAGAAGTCCGCAACCTGGGTGTCATCCTGGACTCACCTCTCTCATTCCAGGCACATGTCAAGCCCATCACCAAATCTGCTTTCTTCCACCTCAAAAACATCACTCAACTCCGGCCATCACTCTCTGACTCTGTAGCAGAGACCCTCATCCACGCCTTTGTCACCACCCGTCTAGATTACTGCAATGTAGTCCTGTTTGGGGTTCCCAGCAATGCCCTGCACAGGCTCTAGTATGTCCAGAACTCAGCTGCCAGGGTTCTCACCCACACCAAGCCCTGGCAGGACATCACCCCTACCCT